CGAAGCGTCGCCGTGTTTCACGATTACTCGTTACAACGATCGGGCATGGTGTAATATGAGGTCCACGGTTTAATGGGACGTTACTTCCATTTCCAGTCGAATTTTCAGCCCGAGCTGCTTGCACTGAATTACGATCGTACGCCGGCGAGTTACAGCGAGATTTATTTCAGGGTCGCGATATGATATCCCTTTCGATGATGCTCACCTGTAAATCTATCGGATCGGGCTATTCCTGCGCGAATGCGAAGGAGTTTTCGTATCAATTCGAAAGGTATGGTGCCTTCGTTCGATTACTCGTCGTAAGCTCCTGTTTACGTGGAATAATTTCGCGAATAAAATACGTTTCACGAGAAAATAAAACGAAATAAAAATTAAAACAAGTTGATAGATAAATCAACAACCGTATATTTTTCTAGATCTTGTAAGATACCGCAAGTGTTAAACAAATTTACTTATTTCGAACCCTTTGTACCCCCGATTTCAAACAATGCGAAAACTCGTGCATCGTAGGAACCCTACTAGGAACCCTGTAACCCTTTCACTCCTGCAGACGTTGCACGACGTCCATGGATTTCAAAACTGTTAGAACTTAGAAAATTCTTTCTGAACGCTTATATTCTTTCTAACGCACGATATTATATTTTATATATTAAGTTTTTATTAGATTGAAACAAAAATAAAATTTGGTACTCTCTTGGTAACTCAGGAGTGAAAAGGTTAAAATACCTATACTCCACGCATGTACTTCCAAAAATTTCCCGGAACCTCTTCATCCATCTTTACCTCGAAATCAGCAAAGAAGTTTGCGAGATTCTGTGGATTGCGTTCCTCGGGAACGAGAGTTCTTCCTAAGGAAAGAAGGAAATCTACTCATTCAATGCTTACGACTCCCTTTTAAGCCAAGAAATTATCCCCTTTTCATGGTGGGACCGCGAATTTCGAGCCACCGCGTACATCTAGGATCGCGATCTATACACAGGGACGCATGCGCGGTCGTCGCGTGGCCGATTTTTCCAGGCCTTCATCCGCGATCGTCGCGATTTCCGCCATGGCCAGACCGCGTACACATCCTCGACGGCACGCTAAGAGAAGCCGTGCTTCCGTCCTCGACCATTGTGATCGATAACGAGGAACAAAGTGCCCCTCGGCGAGGCGGAAAGCACGGGCGAAGAGTGGCGCGAATAGCGACGAGACGATTCGTGGCATGGAAAAAAGCTCGTCGCGAGGAACTGCTCTGCTTTTAGAGCACGCTCGTACGGCGAGCTTTTTTCGGCGCCTTTTCTTCCATCGTCGGATGGTAAAGAGACACGATTAGACCGGGGCTTCGATTTTTCCGCGTCTCGAGGAGAATCGTTTTACGGAATTGATCCGTCTGCGAGCGATTTATTCGCCGTTTCCGCCGATCGCGTTGGATTTGTCGCGGATTAAGTTTGCAGAAGCGGCTGGATCGAAGGGATTCGATCGTATTACCGAGTCGAATGTTCGAAAAATTTGGATTATACGACAGTCCTCTGTTGCTCGAAATATTTGAGAGAGCTGTTTCAAGTAAGGATATAGATCGGAGCTGGGAATATTCAGTTTTTCGAAGCTTTGGCCCCGTTTCTTTACCACGAGTCTTACACGATACTGTACACCAAGGGTTCAAAGGTACACGATTGGTGGAATGAATGGGTACGGCGAACGAAGAAACTGGAAACGAAGAATCTCAAATGAAGCGGAATAAAAAGGGACATTGATGACACGAATATCATAAGAACAGTCGCGAAGTCGAGTCACTTTCGGAAGGAGAATTTTTAACCTGAAGGTTCAGTGTCAGCTGTAATAATAAAATATATCTTCTTCGTATGGTCGATTGTTCTTGTAGATTCAGGAATATAGGAAAGTGTACTTTTCTAAATTCCTCAATGACAGGTTACGATAATTATGAAAGTCTTCTAACGTAACAGATACTCGAGTCATCTAACAATTCACAGCGCATCGAAATATCGGCAATGAAAAATAGAAATTAACCCTTTGCACTCGAGAGGTGACTCTGAGTGACCATTTAATCAGATTCTAAAGATCGACGTTAATTAATATATCAAATTTAAAATTACCTAACGATGTGTGGAACGTCGAAGAAAAATAATTCTGTCTTAATTTGCATATGATTTCTCATTTACCATTTTAAAAATATCGTCGACTCTATGGCAGAAAGACTTCGAATTACTATTATTCTGTAACGAGAAAGTCGTCGAATGCAAAGGGTTAATAGAAAAACCATACTTAAATTTTAACCATAATTATTTTAAGGCATCTCATCATCCCCGGTTAACGAACTGATACCATATGGAAACAGGGACAACAGAAAGATCCGTGGTAACGTTTTCCCTGCCACGATCGCGTCAATCATCGCGAATATCAAATATCGCGTTCGCGAATACGCGAAAAAGAATGTTCCTTGGAAAATCCGCGCTCCCAGTTCTCGACGGGGTCGTTAGTAGCACGGTGACAGCTCGCATACTGCGGGACGTATACGGGGGTACATAAGTTATGCATTGAAACAGGCGAACAGCAAGTATCTCGCGCTACGAAACCGTTTCTTGCGACGATTACACGAAGGCACAATGCAGACTGTACTCGTTCCTCCGCGTTGCATTAGCGATCTGATGCTAACTTCTTCCTTCCCTTTGTCTCTGCACCTTCCGCCTATTGTTACGCCGCAATTATTTTCTCATTGCCGTGATTCCAACGCCGCGGGAAATATATACGTTATATTTTCACCTAACGCCCGATCCATCATAAGCTCGTGATGAAACGATCGTGTAGATCTAACTCTTCGACCTCCGACACATATACACGTACGTGTATATACGTACCGAGTGAACGCAATGGAAGAATTTAATAGGGAGAAGGCACCACAGCGGAAATTTTTTCCTCGCCATTTTCCTGCAATTTATTTCTTTTACCCGTTCGGACCGGTTCACGTACCAAAACGAGATGCGAAAAATAGACGAATAGGATGAAAAATAAAAAATATATTCTTCGTTCTTCTTCCTTTCCCTTTTTTTTTTTCTTTTTTTCTTTTCTTTTCTTTTCGAGGAACGTGGTTTATGCTATTTTAGTGGAAAGAGTCGGCTATTTCAGCCATTTAAATGCCACCGCGAAAATTCTAACCAGTTAATTTCGCTACTAACGATAATTCGCTCCCCCGTCTCGATGCTACCTGTTTTCGTAGCTGTACACGTGGACCCGCAAGAAATCGAGAAAACCACGAACGAAACTACCGGATTAAACAGTTTTAAACGAGTTTGCACGAGCGCCAGGCCCGTACCTCGGTCCCACATTCGTATCGCAATGGTCCGATTGCGTTTATAAAGACGCCCTATTCTCGCGTGATGGACGGTCCTTGATGAGGTCATTAGTTGCTTTCATGAACCGCGTCCACGTTACCGGTGGCTAAAGATCGGCCTTAATGGCCGGCCAAGTTGCTTTGCACAAGTAACTCGAAGGCCAGTGGCCGATCCGCGAGGGTTCTGCTGCCTGCAATCGTGCATTACGCGTAAATGCACGAGCTCCGCTTAAAAAGCATACTCGCCAGAGATTAATTATACTTTGAATTTTTCATATCCCCTTTCTTTGCCCACTTTCCTTCGTGTCGTACTTGCGATCGTAGTTTCAACAGACGCGACTTATTTATCAGGAAAAAATAATTAAAAACGAATCTCCCATCTTTAAAAAGAATTATGCAATTTAAAAGAAAATATCGCTCGAAAAATTCCATTAATTACGTCGTTACGAGACTCTCGAGGTATTTAGAACCTTCGAAGGATTTAAAATAAAGAATTCGAGTTTACTTCGAGGGAGAGGTGCCTCGAGAACGAGAACCGTTGTCAAAGATTCGAAGGAGAATAAATCCAGACACATCTCTGCGCTCGTCTCTTTTAGAGACTGAAACTCGAATAACATACTCGAATCGAAAGACTGTTTCTTGTAAGTCGCTCCCTCCTCCCACCCGCAACATATCTCATAGAAACGCGCTCCTCGCTTTAATGGAAACGCTTCATCTATGACAAACTCCGTGGTTCCCGCAGATACGAAACGCGCAAAGCGTCGCTCGCTACTCGCGTTCGCCTGAGAATCCATTTCGACGCGTGTACACGCACACGCGACACAGAAACCATCCTGTCCAGAAAGACATTTTGTCCTCTATCTAGGGATCGGTTCGAGTGGATTGGCTAAAATAGCGCTGTTTTACTTCTTAATAAAATACAATAAGCTTATACGTAGATTGACGGCTATGAAACAAGAAGGATTCGCTATGGGCGCGTTCGACTTTGACTTCTTACCGACACACTCTTAGACACTAGCTTAAGAACTCATGGAGACCGTTAAAGACTATGGACTGTTCTGGAGACTGTGGAGATTATAGACTGGAGCTACCCGCGCCCTTGCACCCTTATTTAACCCTTTCGGTACGCAGGAGCTGGCCGAGGTTATACATTCGTGTGATACGAGAAAGTCTTCCACAAGAGTGATGGCACTGGAAGCCGCGAAAACGTGTTTTGCGGTATTCGTAGAAATCTCGAGCGTGATTGACACTAAATTTTTTATTCGAACCGCGACAGTCATCGGTGACGTTTCGTGGATGCCGCCAATAGGCGACGGTAGTATCCACAGAACGTTTCATGGCCGCCGCCATTGAGAGGCAGTAGTACCGAAAGGGTTAAAGCATTCATTCTGTCCTTTTTCCATATCCGGGCTTTCCTTTCCAATCATGCCCCTTTCCCACGCAACCTCGATGGACCATGTACTTCAGTCACTCTGGACGCATCCCTAAACTTTCAGTCGACTCTACCATAAGCATTCTTTGCAGTCAATCCTCTTGTGCACACGGTCATTTTCATTCTAAGCCCAAACACACTTGACATTCTTTCAGGGCCGTACTTATTCCAATCCCACATTTATTCATCGGGGAACTGTTTTTAACGATTAAAAAATCATTTTGCCTTCACTTTTAGGTTTCTACTCGTTCCGAAATCCCGATACCGGATCCTGGTTTATACAAGCTCTCTGCCAGGAGTTGAGTCAACACTGGCGAAGCCGCGATCTACTCGGAATAATGACTTCCGTAGTGAGGCGCGTCGCTATTGACTATCAATCGTTCGCGCCGCAGAACGAGGAGTTCCACCAGAAGAAACAGATTCCGACCATTGTCTCCATGTTGACTCGATTAGTGATCTTCGAGGAAAAAGGGAAAACAGCCTCGACATCGAAGGAATAAAAATGGCCGCGAAATCATCCATGAAACAGCGAAGAATTCGATCCAGGTACCCACAGTGTACTTTTAATTAACAGGATCATAGGTTCTCGTTGTGCAAGTTTAAAGAAGACCTTGGGTCGAGACATATAAATATATATATAATACGCATACACGTATATTAGGGACGGATAACGAAGTGCGCGTATTACTTCATTTGCAGCTGTTCGCGGAGTTTAATGAACGCGATAAATAACTCGCTTTGTCGAGACACGCCGCACGAAATTTCGTTAGCTTTCTAAACAAATTAAAAGTCACTTTACGGCCTTTGTCTACGAACAAACGTGCATTACGTCGGGATGGAGCATCATCACGCGATATATTTTTTATTATTTCACAGTGCCATGGCCCTCCCTAGACGCTCTACGCCGGCTTGCCCTTTGTCATAAACAACCATTCTCACAGACGCGAACGATAAAAATCAAGTTTCCCTACGAGCAGACAAGGAATCCGCGGTGCGAATTTCAAATCTCGCGCCTCGATAATAAAGGCGCCAGTTTCGAATTTCGCGCCAGGATAACAAAGGAGTAAACGCCTCTGTGACGAATTTTAGAGCAACGCAACGAATTGTTCCAGATATTTATGAGTTTGATGTGACAAGCGGCGCGTTAAATTCTTTTTACTTATTATATTAGAATAAGTACGAATACTACACAGAAAGTAAGCACGGCGGCTTATTTAAAAATTTTGACGACTAGTTATAATTATTGAGAAACACAAATAATTGTAATTATGGATATTGATAAACTTGGGACACTGCAGTTTAACTTCTTAAGATGAGAATAAAGCATGCGATGTTCTTACTTTTTATGCAATACTTCATTTTACCCCAAAAATCACAATCTTCATTTAATAATTTAACTCGTTTTCTCATTTAACAAAACGCAATTTTCGAAAACCGAAGACGATGGAGCAATTTCGATTACGGGTTCCTGTTCAGCGAAGTAGACTCTAAGAGAATTACCCAATGGCTAGGACAGATTAGAATTCGTGTTGAACAGTGTAATTCAACGAGGGACATTTTGCGGCAGGAACGATTAGATTTTGACACATCGATGTCCATGAAACTATATTATTATATAACATGAACATCGAGTGTTATCTAAATCCACAACCGTATCATCCATCAAGTAAATATCGATCAGTGGATTCGTTGTGGTAAATTCAACTACGTTGATTCAATTTTCTTTAATTACACGCTTCCTATTACTATTTCTATCTATAGAACCATATTAACACGTTACCAAGTTACTTTACGATTAACGCCATTTGTTCCCCATGCGCGTAAATTCTATCGCGGTCATTAAACCAGAACTGTAATTGGGACTCTAATTATCAGTGTAATTATTATACTGCAAGTTTATAGGTACGCCGGCAAAGGTATCGATTATTAAATCATTAACGAACAGGGAGAAACTATTTCGTATAAAATCCAGCGAACAGGTATTAGCCATGGAAAACCGATGTTGTGAAAAAGACATAAAAATCCTCAAAATCCGGTTAAACATTTGCAAACTTTTAATATAGCTCTTCATAAGGAGCTTCTCTCAATTGCTGTTTATTTATCGCTATGATACCCTTATAAATAGAATACTTTTCCACCGGAACATTCTCATAAATCTTCAATAAAAAGTACATAAACAGCACGTATATCGCAATAACTGGTGGAAAGGAGAGGAACAAACGAGTAAAAGAATATAAAAGACGTGTTGGATTAGACCATGTACAATCAGTAACAAGCGTAACGTAACGTCAGACGACTACGGAACACAAGTTGCTATTGAACCAAGGCAAACTGATGAGCGGGAGGATATTTCCTCGGAAAATACAGAGAAATCACGGAAATAAATACAAAAGCTCCAACGAAAATAGGATTCACCATTTCGATATCAAGCCACCTTTCGATACATTTTTAAATCATTATATTGAATAATAAAATTGAAATTTATCATTTATCATTTACCATTTCAACGTTGTTGAAGTTGATCATCGAACAACATTTTTCGGATAATTTTCATTTACCGAATAATCGATGGGAAATACGAGAACACGCAAAAATATGTGAGAACGAAATAAAATCGAGATAGAGTCAGTGATAATTAATAAGTATTTTCCTGGCACTCGCAAACTAGTCCGGAGGAGTGGGAAAGTCTGATCCGTACGGTTCTTGAACTACTTTCGTATCAAAGGGAAACGGAGTACGTCGCGCAGGAGAGACGCAGACGTCTGTTTGACCGTGCAATGACAATTCGATTCCATTCCCTTCAACCTCGTCTTCTGCCTAGGCTAAGTGGATCCTCCAGGCAAACGGAGCATGGCAGAGCCATGGCTCGTTTGAGGCACGGTTAAAGGGTTTCGTTATGCGGATTACAATTCTCGGCTTGCAGCCCCGGACGAGTAAAGGAACACAATGGACAAAGGGCACCAAGGTGACTGTATTGTCTTAGCAAAATTTAATTCACGCGTGATGTTGACACGTTTTCGCATAAAAAGGACTCCCTCAAGAATCTTGCTTCCACGAATTCCCTCGCGTTTACAAATTTCCAGAAATCCAGAGACTCGTTAGAACCACGATAAATTCAATTTTGGATACGTTTATAAATATCAATTTTGGATACGAGTCGTCTTTAACGACTATTTGATTACAATAGCGTGGTATCGCAGGATGAGTGGGTCGAGCATGTTATCCAGAGTGCGCGCGGAAGGACGAATGACCGTGCGCTAGGATCGTGTGGACGGGATGTTTACGAATGTATCGGATGAAAGTGAAGAGTGTCTCTAGGAATGCGTTTGAGTGTTTGGGCTACGTGACCCGCTGATGGCAAGACTGCAAGGAGTGCGTGGGAAAGTGTGATTGGGAAAGAGAGAGTAGGTACGAAAGAGGATAGAATGTATGGTTTTAAATAGGGATGCAAGGGCGCGAGTAGGCAGTATGTAGAATGTCGTAGTATGGTGTAGTATGTTGGAGTTCGTAGTAGAGTTATTAGAAGAGAGCTGCGAAGAAAGAAGTTAGTTGAAATCGTGTTGTTAGTTATAATCGTGTCGTTAGTTGTGGTCGTAAGAGTTTAGTTGAAATATATATCTATACTCGTAGTCTTTACCGTCACCGCACATTGTATATTATATTTTACGTTTAATAAATAGTAGTTATATTATTTAACAACCACACATGTCTCTATAATAGTTTTCGACATTTCACTCGAGTTAAGGGCTGTACAGGCGAAACGTGTTATTCGATAAACTGTTCGACAGCGGTGCTACTGCACTCGTCAGCAGCGGGATGTTCACCAAACACAATTTCCGGCAAGTGCTCGCTAACCTTTCCCTTCATACGAACATATAGCGTGACCTGGTCTCCATTGTGTCATCGTCTAAGGCCTTGCTAGCAGGCCCCGAACAAAACGTATCTTTCTGTCCTTTTCCTCCGTCACTCTCTCTCCCTCCCTCTCAATCCTGACATCGTCAAAGTTTAAAGACTCTTTGTAAACACCACGTACGAGCCCTTTTGTAAAGCCCTAGTGGGTAAAGCTTGGCCAGCTTGTCGCTAGTTAGATAATACCATTGACGACTCGTGTCACTTGCCGCGAAATGTGCCTAAAAGGACACACCGCTGAACTTCGAAGGCCGCAGGGTGTAAGTTTCCCAATTTCAAACTATGCTGCTGGTCGTCCAGCCATGAATTTAATTAAGACTCTTAGTCTAGTTAGCGAACGACTCGCAGGAAACGAAAGTGAAACTGACCAGATGACTCGGTTCCCGAACTTTCGTCATGGTGGACGTGTCGTCTCGAGACGTTTTGTCTTGGAAATCTCTCATCTTACTACTCGACTCTAACGTCATTACGTCATTTTCCATCATCTGGCTCAACTACTTACTTACGCTCGCTCCGTTTCGTTTCGTTTCATCATTTCAGAGCGTTTCGTGTTATTCGGGCCAAGCGGATTATCCACCACGAACGCACCAGGCGAGCCGGATTAACATCGAAGTCAAAATTTCCGTCGGTTCAACCTGCGTCTATCCCTGAGCTTTAAACTCTCCGATATTTCATAAAGCGCACAACCTGCATACGACTTTGGACGCTATTAGGCTCTCGCCATAAGCTGGTACTGCCCGCCATTTGCTCCGAGACCAACGTCCCGTAGTTCTCCGCGTGTCTGCCATTGTAAATGTAAAACTTGGAGACTCGTGGCGGAATAATCGTTGAAAGTTTCGCAGTATCGTGGTCGCGAAAGAACTACACTCGTCCATTAACAGTCGATCGTTTTCCACCCCGCGTTCCGTCGAACTTTCGTCGCTGTCGTTCGAGGCTTTGATCGCTAAGCAACGAAATTTTTGATTTAATAATTCATCTGGTGAACCGACGAGGAGTCGGACCCATCCAGCTCGCCATGGAACAAGTACGTCCTCCAAGTTGAACTACTCGAGACTATGCGGATGACTGATTCGCTTCGTCAAAGGATGCAGGTGCACCTTTGTCCCTGCATCGATCAACACTCGATCGAACGAGGACCAAAGTAGGGAAGGTACTTGTACTTGGAGAAACCGTGTGTTTCAGCGCCACCAGACACGATAACCGCATTGTGCGCTGGTCCAACTACGTCGAAATGAGAATATCGGACCGTGTTCCAATAAGAACAACCGCGTGGGCCAAATTTACGACACGTCCGTACTTCCTTCCGCTGTATCTGACTGTACGTGAGAGTATACGAGGTCGCATGTTCGAAGGAAATTATTCGATCACCGTAGCCACGTATGTGATTAATTTTTATATTTACTTTCTCTCCGATTCCACGTCTCCTGGCGTAATTAATTTTCACCTGGCACGACATTCACGATTAAACTGTCCAATGAATTTTTATTTTTTCTCTTATCTGTAATATCCATTATATGAGTAGCTTGTAGAGTCACTTTTCTGAACACGAATCCGTAATCCGAGTTGCCGTATCACCCTCAGTTTCCGCAAAAAGGCACGATTTTTTAACAAAATTGTATTTTCTTTTACCGTAAAATTGTTGCGTCATCTCTGTTGCACTTGGCACTAGGATTACGCGTAGCTACGGCACTGTCGAGCCTACGTGATGATGAAACGTATGTATACATGTTACCGACGAATATTTTCTCCTTCCAATCGAATTATAATTAGCTTTGCCAATTCTGTTCCATGATTTTTAATTTAGAAAAATCTACAGAATACGACGCCGTATGAATTTGTGGTGGATAAAGAATTTATCGTAAAAATCCAAAAATAGTGCATAAGAAGTACGTAATTCCCGCAAAATCCCGCTTACCTGTTGTCTACTTTATACGTAATACTTCATTTTAGCCAAAAATCGTGCCTTTTTAGAGGAACTCGCATTTCTCAAATCTGAGAACGATAGAGAAATTTCTATTATGGATTCCTTTTCAGGCAAGTAAACTCTTCAAGAATTAACCAATGGATATTACAGATTAAAATTTGCGTTGAACAGGGTTATTAACGATACGGAACGAAAGGCTGACCGAGGTAATTAAAAGGTTTTACCCAGTCAACTATCGAATAATTACCGTACGAGAGGTGGAAACGTAATTACTGCTTCAATTATTTAGTTTCTTCCAATATAACTAGCGCGGTAATTAACGAAGCCGAACTTCGGCCTGGAAATTATAATCGTTAATAAACTCCGAATTAAGATATTGAATTTTAGTATGATTAATTAGGACAAATACACGCTTGATTGATGAAGGACAGTGGTTCTTATAAGGTATATAGAGTGT